CTCATGAATTATATCCAAAACTCGGCATGTCTTCTGTCCCCCAGGTTTGCTCCTCCTCATATGTTTCCCATTTCAGTAAATGATATCACTATGCAACAAGTTGCCCAACTCAGAAAACTGGAAGTCATGTTACATTTTTCCTCTCCCATATTCCCCATAAATACTAAATATCCAAGCCCTCCTGATTCCATAATCTAATGTAGTTATAGAATCTAGTCCTTCTTTTTTTTTTTTTTTAGAGAGGGAGGTTTTTGCTATAAGTTGTGTGAGTTCACTGGAAAGAGACAGAGACAGAAAGTGAGAAATCATCCCCTGAGGGAGATGGCAACACCACAATCCCTTCTCTTCCATTCTCTTGGGATTTTGGGCAAGCACACATGCTTCCGGTGTGAGTTTTAAGCCACCAGGTCTGCTACTTGAATCGTGGGCGACTACGTGGGAGTCCAGCCACATAACCATCATGCCATCTGCTGATCCCTCGGCCCTTCAGCCTCAACACCTCCACCTTAGCACGTGGTGGGTGATAAGCACAGCACAGCATCGGGAACCGCACTGTTTGGATTTTCCTTCCAAGTCTGCTTCCTACCAAAATGTGTCTTTCAGTTACTTTTTCATTTCTTTTCATGTTCGAAATGGGGAAACGTAAGAATACCTTAATTATTTTTGTGAATAGTGCCTACACAATTGTGAAAATTAAAGACTGAATCTGTACTGAAAGCTTAGAGGGTGCCTGGCCCTTAGAGGTGCTACGTGTTTCTAACATTATGGTCAGGTCAGGTACTGCCCTTTCACTCCCAGATCACTGCAGCAGTCTCTTAACTTGTCACTACCCTGCGCCAGAATCCTCATTCTAAAAGGCTATTTGCATCCTTTCACCTTACCGTGGATTCTCCCCTTTCTTAAGACCAAGTCTAAGCTCCTTAAAGCAGCTCACTCACAACCTGTCTCTTACTTACTTCCTCACTTTTCTTTTGTCTCTTGCTCGCCCATGTTCTACCATTCAGTTGTATTGAAGTCCTCTTAGATTCTTAGTAGACCATGTCCCATCTCTCCAGTCTCCATGCATTTCTTTGCTTATCCAGTAGCTGGTTATCTTTAGAGACTGTTTCCTTGGGGTTAACCCCAAAGCCTAGCAATGATTATTTTACATTTTAAATTATTTGAAAAATGCCAGAGTAATATCTTCTTAGATAGGTTTCATATACGCAGCATTATTTGGATTATTTTAAAATAATAAAAGTCTTGCTTTTAGTCTTGACAGTCTTGCTTTATAACTGGAGTGTTTCATATACATATATGTATACATATATGAAACACATATATATGAAACATATATATATGAAACACACACAAATATACACACAAACACATATATGCATATATGTATCAAATATAATCACTAATTCTTAGAGTTAAGTCTGCCATCTTGTGTTACGATTTTTGCTTCTTCTTGTTCATTCTAAGTTTTCTTTTCTTTGTTTTTTAAAAATATTTATTTATTTATTTATTATTTTAAATTTGCTGTAGGGCACATGCACTTACCAGAAAGACAGAGAAAGTGAGAAAGCAAGTCTCCAGGTCTAGGACTCCAACCATGGTTGGCCATGTGGGATTCTGGTGCCTTAACCACTATGCCACCTGCTGGCCCCACTCTCACTTTCGTTTTTGGTTGACTCAACACCTCTCTTCCAGTTTGGATGATTTATAGTCTGTTTGTTTTTTTTTTTTTTTTAAGTTTGTCTTTAAAATTAAAATATGCATATTTATCAAAGTCTAAATTTAATAAAACCTCATAGATAATATAAGGATCTGTCTTTTCCCCCCCAATGGTATTTGTTTATTTATCAAGAAAAACTATTCCTTAGCCCATGTATTCATGTATCATAATTCAGGACCATAGAATTCAATCCAAAAACATTCTTTATATTCTCAAATCACTTTGTACTCTGAAAGATACCAGCCTTCTTCTTCTCAAAATCTTTGATGGAATCATAATTTATTATTTTTTTTTAAGAATTACTTTAACTTTTATTTATTTATTTATTTATTTAGTTAGTTATTTATATTTGACCAGAGAGGGACAGAGTGAGAGAGAGAGGGGGGAAGTGAGAAAGCAAGCTGCCAGGTCTGGGACTCAAACCATGGTCAACTATGTGGAAGTCCAACACCCTTAACTCCACACCACCTGCCGGCCCCTGGAATCATAATTTCTATCAAAATCTGTATACGCTTTCTTTCTTGGTTCAGTCACAGCAAACTCAATAGAAAGTTACAACACTCAGTATTACAATGAATGCTCCAACAATATGAAATGGCAGACGTCTGACCAGAAGGCTGTGCATCTGAGGTTTCGTCAAAGTACTGGAAGCCATGGTAGTTATTGTTGCTCAACACCAATGTCTTTCCTGGCTGATGACCAATACGGATCTTTCTTTACTTGCTCCTAATTTATACATTATTTTTGTCCAAATTTTAGCTATACATATATAAAGGACCACTAGACATATAATTACTATTTTATGTGACCAATGTTCATTTACACATTTTTTTTGGGGGGGAGATGTTTTTGCTATAGGGTGCATGTGCTCTCCAGAAAGAGAGACAGAAAGTGAGAAATTATCCCCCAGGGGAAATGGCCATGCCATAATCCCTTTTCCTTCATTCTCCTCTCAGGATCTTGGGTTCGCATGCACACGTGCCCGGCGTGAGTTTAAGTCCCACCAGGTTTGGGACTCGAACCACGGTCGACTACATGGGAGTCCAGAGACATAGCCGTTATGCCAACTGCTGGTCCCTGTGGTTCTTTCTTTTAGCACTTAAAGAGAGCATGCTATTCTCTTCTGGTTTTCCATATGGCTATCTAACTCCTGTTCCTCCAAAGATAATGTTCCATGCCTGCCTCCTTGCTCTTTTGGCTGCTTTTAATATTTTTTTCTTTGTCTTTATTACTTTGTTGTACAGTTTCATTTTAGTGGATCCTTATGTAGATTCCCTTTTTAGTAATCTATTCTACTTGGAATTTGCCAGATATGATTTATCTTTAGAGATGTGTCATGAGTCAGTTCTAGAAAATAGCCACAGCTGACCCCTAACTGATTTTATTGAAGCTTTGTAGTGATCAACGACAACCTTCAATTGTAAACAATGAAAACATACACCCCATCTCTGCCTATTTTCCTTAGTAGAAATGATGTGGAGATGCAGGGTGCGGCAGTGTTCAGACCCAGCACCCACAGTGGGTTCTTGTCTATAGCTCACAAAGAATTAGAGAGACAGACACAGAGAGGGGATAGCAAATGTAGTTTATTAAGAGAGGGAACGAAGAACAGAGCTTCCAAGCAGGGAGCAGGTCACAAAAAATGGGTTGCCACCGAGAACCAAGACAAGAGGTTTTATCTTGGTTAGGAGGGGTGTTGTTTGGGCTTGTTCTCAGGAGAGGCTGTGGCATGCATTCCCCTTATAGTGAGGGTCACATGCTGGATGGGCCCACTTATTTTTTCCCTAATTTTGGAGTGGGTAGAAAGATCAGGAGATTCTCTTTCTCTAGAAGCTTTGGGCCATAAAAACCATTATCTTGGGACCAGCAGATGGCATAACGGTTACATCACTGGACTCCCACAAAGTCAACCATGATTCAAGTCCCGGACCACTTAAAACTCATGCCTGTCGTGTGTGTGTGTGTGTGTGTGTGTGTGTGTGTTTGTGTGTGTGTGTGTGTGTGTATGTGTGCCCAAGATCCCAAGATGAGAATGAAGGAGAAAGGATTGTGGCGTGGCCATAGCATTTGGAGGGTGATTTCTCTTTCTGTTTCTCTGTCTCCCTCTGTCTGCTTTCGCCCAATAGCAAAAATCTCTCTCAAAAACGAACAAACAAAACCCATAATCTTCCTCTTGAAATGTGGTAGGGCCTAGGAAAACACCTTTGCTTTAGGTCATGTTGCCTACTTCAATCTTTGAGTTACTGTTGCAAGCCCTTTCTCCTGAGCAAGCCTCTGAGCTGCTGTGTCTCCATCTTAAAACTTAGCCATTTGTGATTTCATTTTGGGCCTATCCCCTAACTATACTCTTAGGGTCCCTGTTTCCTACCCCAGAAGTAGCCATGTTTTTCTTCATTTTATATGACTAACTAACATGGAACTACTTCCGCACAATGTTAGTGAAATCCTCAGGAGTCAAACAGGTTATTCTTCTGAAAGTTTATGATGGCCCTAGGCCATAGTTACGAAGAAAAGGCTCTGAGGGAAAGAAACCAAAGGACTCAGCACCCTCTGTGAACTTTCTTCCTCTATGTAAATAAGTCTTTCTGTTCCTTCAAGTGCCTTATACTGCACTATAAGAACAGTTGAGGTACTGGCCTGAGTTCTTGGGAACAGTTCCGAGATTCAGAACTGTGGCTGTGAAGTGAATCATTGCCCTAAAATGATTACTTGGGATTCAAAAAGCTTCTAGGAAGAAGGATACAAACCTTCATAAATGGTGGATCTTTTGGTAATTATTTTACTTCTAATTTCTGAATATCCAGAATTTCAAAGTTGGAAGTTTGCCCAGTAGAGAAATCTTTCTTAGACTCTTGAACCTTTTCTTTAAGATTTAAAAGAGCATAGTTTTATAAATACTTAGAGAGCTAAGACATCTCTATTTTTTAAAACAAATGGTCCCACCCCAACTTTCTAGTGGGTATTGGATATTTTCTGCCTTTCTACCAGCAGGATTGTTTAGAAATGCTATATATGTCTGTCTTTCTGTATAAACAAAGAAACTCTTTCAGACTTCTGAAAGTCCTGGAAATGGAAACACTTATTGGTAATCTAATAGAAACTGTGGCAAGTGACTTCTTAACATTAGTTATGTTGCTTCTAAACCCTCCCCCCTCCTTTTTTTAAACAGGGATTGGAGCAATCTGATTTTTTTAAAAAAACTGGTCCCTTCTCTGTATAATCAAGGCTGAACAGAGATTTTGAACCCAAAGAGGAATTGAATTCAGTGTTGGCTCAACAGGTTACAGAGACCAGTAATTCTGTACTATCTTCTCAGCATGGAGTCAAGAGACCAAGCAGGGAGAACCAGGTAGGCTATTCCTTGTGTAACCTGGTTCTTCTCCATCGTGGGTCCTCCGACACACTGCCTTCATGAGATTCCCTTTTTAGATGGCAAAGGCTTCTCACCAACTCCTAGTTTTGTGGTCATTACCATGAATGCACAGTGTTGTAAATGGTACCAACTATCCATCATGGGATATGGCATTGACTTCGTGATGTCTTAAAGTGAAACTGTAAACCTCTGTCTTAACTAAAGTGCTTGTGTGGCTTAGGAGAGGTGAAGACAAAGTTCAATTTACATACAAAGTTCAATTATTTTGAAATGCTATTGAATTCAGGTTATTTTTCTAGACTGTTCAATAGCCTGAAAAAAGAAGATTCAGAAAAGTCATCCATTTACTCTGTTTTTCTTTTTTTTTTTAATCAAATTGTGGTTTGATTAAAACTGGTGAATGCCTACAAAAATCTAATTTAAGGCTGATCTATTATCAATACATTTATTGAGGATGGGGTTCGCTACTGGGGACAAATGTTTCAAGTGTAAATGTTTAAAGAATTAACATAATCCTTTTCACTTTTGTCTGAAAACTATATGTTTATTAATATAAGTACCCCCAAATAAGGAAGAATCTTTTAAAGAGAATGATTTGTTCCCAGAAAAGTTGTTACTTGTTCCTAAATTCATATGAAGTATCTCATTTTATGAGTGTTCTCTTAATTATTTTATTATAGAAAAAAAATCCTCTTTAGAGAACAGGATTTAGCCTCAACAGATCTTAATCAGTGTTAGTTTTGGATGCTTATAGGGATCAAAACTGATACTTCAAAAAAAAAAAAGATTTAATCATCATGCTAGGATTTATGACCTCATATTTGGCAAGATTTTATATTCTTGTAAGGAATTTAAAAATCAGTTTGGAAATGTTATAAAACAGGTTTAAATTATAGCAAACAAATATAAACATGTAGGATGAATTTTTTATTTTTATTTTTAATTTTGCCAGATGGCATGTACATCTGCCAGAGAGAGAAATTGGGATGGAATGAGAAAGCACCCCTTCATGGGGTATGGTCACACCATAATCCCTTCTCCTCCATTTCTCTCTCCTTTCGGGATTTTGGGCATGCATGTACACATGCCCATTGTTTTACAAGCTTCTGGGTTGGGCCTTGAACTATGCAGTTGGCCATGTGGGGTCAAGCTGTCCTAACCATCATGTCACTGGTTGGCCCAGGATGAATTTTTTAAAAAGTAATTTCACTAACACTAGTTGATTTGATACTTGGATCTTGGAATAAAATTTCCAGGGACATTATATCCAGATTCAAAAAGCATTATTTATCAAATGCTCGAAATAGAGTGAAGATTATATGCTCTGGAAAACCTTGAGATAACCAACACTCCTTCTTGACTTGTGGAAAAAAGTCAGTATCTAAATTAAGATGTATATCATGTTACATGTGCATATTAAATGCACTTATTTGATGTTTAATATATAAATACTTGTTTCACTTACACCCCTAAATGTTAATTTGTTTAAATGATCAAACACAGACCATAAAAGCCTTTTTTTGGTCTTCCTTATTCAAAAAATTGGCAACCACTTTGTATTTGAATGTATATTCCTTATAATGAATAAAGAGTTTCATGAAACCTTTTCACTTAACTCAGTTTGAAGAACTTAATTGATATATGTAATGTTAAATATATTTGAATTTTCTTCTTAGGAATGAAAAAGTTTTGAACTGCTTATACCAAAAACCAGATGCAATTTTTAAGCTGATCTGCTTTCCCTGGGCAGGAGGTGGCTCCATTTACTTTGCCAAATGGGGTCAAAACACTCATGATTTAATTGAAGGTAAGTTACTTTTCATCACTGTCTAAGCAAATTACAAGGTCAGATAACAAGTATATGTAGGATTCGTGTGTGTGTGTGTGTGTGTGTGTGTGTGTGTATGTGTTTCCCTTTTAGTTGCCAGAAGGCACATTCATTTGCCAGAGAGAGAAAGAGAGGGAGAGAGAGAAAGCACCTCTCAGTGGAATGTGGTCATGTTGCAATCCTTGTTCCTCCATTTCTCCATCCCAACGGTATCTTGGCCACACACACACACACATGCACCGAGTATGTCCTTCAAATCACTGGGCTGGAATTTGAACCATGATTGGCCATATGGGACCTGGCTCCAAATACCTACCACTTAACCATTGTGCTGTGAGTGAAGAGTAGGCCCGAATTTATTTTTTTAAATCTTTTTATTCATTCATTCATTCATTCATTCATTCATTTTTAAAATTTGACCAGAGAGAGAGAGAGAGAGAGAGAGAAAGCATTAAAGCAAGTCACTGGGTGTGGGACTCAAACCATGGTTGGCCATGTGGGAGTGTCCAGCACCTTAACTACCATGCCACCTGCTTGTCCCCCCGAATTTATTTTTTATGTTCATCATTTACTCTGTTTGCCTTCTCTTTCATGTAATTTGTGCTTTTCTTTTTTGTATATTTGTGAGTTGAGATATTTGCTTTATTTTCATTTTTTGACATAACTTTTTTTGAATGAGAGAGATTTTGTTTTTTTGTTTTTGTTTTTGTTTTTGTTTTGTTTTGTTTTGTTTTGTTTTGTTTTGCTATAAGGCATTTGTGCTCGCCTGAGAGACAGGGAGAGTGAAAAATCACCCTCTGGGGGTGACCATGCGCAATCTGTCTTTTTCCATTCTCCTCTTGAGATTTTGGGTACACACACACATGTGCCTGGTGTGAGTTTCAAGTCGCAAGATGCAAGACTCGAACAGTAGTCAACTATGTGGCAGTCAAGCACCCTAACCACTAGGCAACCTACTGGTCCCTTAGTGTAACTATTTAAGACTATGAATGTTCTTTTGATCACTGCTTTGATCGCATTTCATTTCACATTTCAATTTTGACATATAGTAAGTTAAAAGAATGATTTTAAAATTTTTATACATCATTTTATGTTCTCCTTTTACCCAAGAGTTCAAGAAAATTGGTAAATTGTAAAAATCGGGCAGATGGACTTTTAAAAAATGTGAGTGTTCAGATTTATAGTTTTTAAAAGAATTATTATATTAAATTTTATTCGTTGTCATTTTTTATTTTTATTTTTATTTTTTGAAGTTGACCAAACAGAGACAGAGAGAAAGAAAGTGAGAAAGCAAGTTGCCAGGTCTAGGACCTGAACCATGGTCTACCATGTGGGAGTCCAACTGCTTTAACCACCATGCCACTGGTCGGCACCCAGATTTATACTTGTTATTGTATTGCTTTGTTCTCACAAAGTGTTTGTTTTATTTTTCTCTGTGGAGCTTACAGTGGTTTTCCTTGTAACCTTAAGGTATGATCAATTGCATTAATAATCCATGAACTGCTAAAAAGAAAATTTGTTTTCTCTTCAGAATGCAAAGCTCAATATACATTTATAAGGTCTACCTTATTGATTCTATTTACTTTTCTTGTCTACTTGATTCTTTTGAACTGAGAGTGGTATGTGAATTCTCCCCTTAATAGCGTGTTTCTTTCTTTTTCTCCTTGCATCTCCCATACTTTCTGCTTTATAAAAGAGATCGCCGTGTTACTGGTGAATAAGTATTCATAATTGTTATATATTTATTGGTAATTGCAGCCTTTAGTAATATGAAATGTCCTTCATGGTACTATTTGATTTTGCTGTGTGAGACAATCGAGATATCTTTACTAAATTCTAACTTTTCAGGTATTAAAATTATACCCCTTGCTTTCTTTTTATTTCCATTTATTACCCAGTATATTTTTCTGATCCTTTCTGAATCACTTTGTTTTAGGTGTCTCTTATATGTAGTGTAGAGCTTGACTGCTTTGTGAGACAATCTAGATATCTTTTTCTTTGAGCAAGTGAACTAAACCCAGTGACCTCTTTTGTGAGGACAGATACAGCTGATCTCTGTTCTGTCATATTAATTTATGTCATATTTACAGTGTATCTCTTCCTGCATAGTGGGATTGTTGTCTCTTATTTTATTTTCATCTTTTGTATCTTTTGTTATTTAGGAATATTTATAATTTTGCCTTTAGCAGTTACTTTCATACTTTATGTAATTTCCCTAGCCTTCATTTTTCTTTCTTTCTCTCTTTTTTTTTTTCTTTTGGAGAGGTTTTTGCTACAGGGCACATGTGCTCTCCAGAAAGACAGAGAAAGACAGAGAGACAGAAAGCAAGAAATCACCCCCCAGGGGGGAATGGCCACGCCACAATCCCTTCTCCTCCATTCTCTTCTCAGGATCTTGGGCACACATGCACACGCACCTGGCGTGAGTTTAAGCTACCGGGTCCAGGACTCAAACTGCAGTCAACTACCTGGGAGTCCAGCGACATAGCTATTATGCCAACTGCTGGCCCCACCTTCATTTTTCTTAATTAGGCTATTTTTCAGTTCTTATGCTTAATTAAATTAATTTTCTTAATTATCCATGAAGGGCATTATTATCCTTAATTACCTATTATCTATATGAAATCAATGAACTTACTATATATTTTTTTCTTCTTCCTTTATTAAAATATGTTGTATTATTTTATTATTTTTACCTTATCAGGACCTATATCATTTCCATATTGTTCTACCATCCTCATCCCTACATTTTTTTTTTGTCTTTTAAAGTCTTAGAACCACAGTTAAAAGTATTTAAAGTGGGCCAGCCAGTGGCATGTTGGCTAAGGCAGCTAAATCTCATATACATGACTGTGTGGTTCAAGTCCCAGACCTAGCAGCTTGAAAAACATGCCGGGCACATGTGTATGTGTGTCACATATTCGTGCATGCCCAAAATCCCAAGAAGAAAATGGAAGAGACAGGATTGTGGTGTCACCATGCTCTAGGGGGATGGGGACCTTCTCTCTCCCCACCTCCACAAGTGCATGCTTCCTATAGCAAATTTAAAATTAAAAAAGAAAAAAAGTAACCAAAGCTTACCACCAGTCCTTTTGCCAAATGTGTCCTAATCATCTCTTGATTGGGTGAAGTTCATCCTGAAGTCCAAGGATAGGCACACTTTTTCTGTAAAGGGCTCAGTAATAAATATTTTCAGGTTTGTGAGCACTACCGTCCTTGCTGCAGCCATTCAGCTTTGCTGTTGTCTCACAGAAGCAGCCAGAGGCAATACGTACAAAATGAGCGTGTGTTCCAGTAATACTCTATCAGCCAAAAGAGGTGGCTTTGTCCAGTGGGCTGTAGTTCATTCCTGTTTTAGTCAGTTCCTTAGGTAGGCTTATAATTATAATTAGTCCTAAATTTCTGCATCTATAGGATTGCTCTTAATATCAGAAATACATTACTGGTATAGATATTTTCCTTGAGCTTTTTGAAAATTTTGCTTTACTGTTACGTTGCATTATATTTTTGTTATTAAAAATTCAATATTATCCCAAGTTACTTTACTTTATAAGTAATTTGATAATTTGTCTGCAGGGCTTTATTTTATTTTATTTTATTTTTTGAATCTTTAAATTCTAACATTTTAATTTGACTGTTAGGGTCAATTTTCTCAAGAACATAATGGTCTCCCCCCATATGTAGTTTCCTTTCTTTACTTCAGGGAAGTTTGTGTGGATTAGAATTTCAAATATCAGTTTTTTTCCAGTGTTTTATTTTGTTTAGCTTCCATGAGAGTCTCCATTTGTTCCCATGACAGAACTTTTCCTGCTTTCTGTAACTGTGATTTTCTTTTGTAATCTTTCTCTTCTGTCTGTATTTTGTATTCCTTTTCCTAGCTCTGTATCCTCTTAAATACTCTGCATCTATTAGGTCATAGGCAAGTTTTTAAAGTTATTTTTAAAATAATTTTTGTATCTTATGGAATTTTTCCCCAGTACTCTGTCAATTCTGTATAATTTATCACCTATTTCTACTCAGAATTTTTAAATTGCTTTGTGATTTTCTTAACAAATATGTTAATTAGCTGAAACAGTTTGATTTATACTTTCTGTATTCTGTATGTTCTATTTGTTTCTGTTTATGATGAAGTGTATTGAATTTTCCTGACCAGAAATCATTCTATTGGGCTGATTTGTTTTATTGCTTAATCAGTTTCTTGGCTCATGAGTGCCCTCTTCAGCTGCTATAGTAAAGTACAGTTTAAAAAAAAAATGACGCCGTGTTGATGGGTGGAGCTCTACACTCTTTTGATTGCTTTATATTTTCATGCTTCTGCAAGACCCTTATTTCCAGCCCCTTCTTTCTGTATTTTCGCCATCAAGCCTCCAAGACACATTCTCCCTTTCCAAGGTGTTTATCCCTGGAAAAGCTGTCTTCCCAACACTATATCTCTGTTCCCTTAAGTTTTCCAAATCCTGTTCTTTCTACTCTCTGGTAGTCAGTATTCTGATATCAGGTCTCTAACAAAATAATCAGATGAGAGTCCTAATATGTGAAGGCAATTTTTAGAAATTATTGCAAGTGGGAACCAGCAGTTAGCGTAATGGCTATGTTGCTGGACTCCCACGTAGGCAACCGCAGTTCGTGTCCCAGACCCGGTGGCTTAAAACTCACGCCGGGCGCGTGTGCGTGCGTGCCCAAGATCCCGAGAGGAGAATGGAGGAGAAGGGATTGTGGCGTGACCATCCCCCCTGGGAGGTGATTTCTCGCTTTCTGTCTCTATGTCTCTCTCTGTCTGGCGAGCGTACGCGCCCTATATTGAAAATCTCTCAAAAAAAAAAAAAAGAAATTATTGAAAGTACTTTTATGTGAAGTTTTTAATCGACAACTGATGATTCTATTTAGACAATTAGAGGTCACTCTTAAACAATTTAAAAGTAGTTGACATTAAAAAAAAATACCACAGGACCAGCTCACGGAAGCTAAACAAAGTAAAA